GTAAGCCAAAGGGGATTCTGGGAAAAGCACAGGTACAGAGTATTTGCAAAGGTGGTTTTAAAGACTGTGGGACATGAGACTGAGTTTGTATTGAAGGGAAGGAGCTAAGGGAGATGCTGTTGCTGGAGGTTTGCAGCAAAGAGGCCCCTGACAACACAGCTGCCCATAAATCCCTCCATAAGAACTTGAAAATGTTTCCAGCAGGGATCAGGTTGGCTTGTGGATATATAACTAATACATAAAGTTTTAAAAAAAAATACAATCGGTACCAACATATGTTTCCTTGTTGTAACCTGCTCCCTCCTGCCACAGATAAGTGCTTAAGTGACTTCAGTGATAATTATCTTCATATTTGTTACAGTTTTATCACCTACATGGTTAGCCTCAGCCAGTGTGAATCATTGCTTGCCTATGGGGACCTTTAATGAAATACGGTTATATGTTTGTATAGGTATATATTCTGAGTGGGTTCCAGACCTGTGTGTCTGTTCTTCCACAAGCAGTATATATGTTGAATTCAGTGTGTGTTTATGCTGTTGCTTTCGGTATTCTGTCTAGTTTCCCATTAGACGAACATATCACAGTATGCGTGGCCATTGTTCCTAAATCATTCAGCGCCAGTGTTCTACCCATAAGTAGTGGAGTGGCTGGCTGTGTAGACTGTCTATGATTTTGTAAGAAAATCCAAGCCATCTACTCAACTTGATGTTGCCCTTGTGTGAGAAATCCCATTACTCGGGCATTGAAGTCTGCACTTGATATTGTCAGACTTTAAAGTCTGGCTTACGTGGTGGGTGGGTAATGGTGTCTCACTTAGGACTTAGCCATTATTAACTCATAAAGATTTAAGACATGATTCTTTGTACCTGGGCCCTGTCATTTGTGCTTGAATATGAGGGTGATTCGAAACAGATTTTGTTGGCAGGAAAGAACATTTATTTTACAGTTAGCTGCACATGAATTTTACATGGAGAAGTTATAAAAAAAAATTCAGTCCCATTTCACACACAGGTATATCCAAGAGTCTCTCCATGACTTTCTGGCTGACGATTCTACACTAGCTGTAGCAGATGGAGCTGAGTACAGCATCTCTAAGGCTGAAGATGTTCTGTCTTGGGAGCACCCTTGACCATTGGCTCTTGGCTGTCTGCCTGGTTCCTTTTCATTCTCCTTTTCCTCTGTGCAGAGTCTTACAAATATTGTTCACGTGGAGGAACTGAGTTTGTATTATACAAAACGCCTTCATTTTATTACAAAGTAGCTCGAGAACGGAATCCCACAGAAGTCAGTTGGTGTTTGTGATCTTCTCTTTAGCAGGCATGCTCGAAACATTTCAGTGTGTTCTACATACAGTTGCTACTGCTTTTTTGGAATGAGATCTCATTATGTTGCCCAAGCTAATGTTGAACTCCTGGGATTCAAGCAATCCCCCTTACCCGGATTTCCTAGGCGCTAAAACTATAGGCATATGGCAATATTCTTGGTTATAAAATTATTAATTGGACATTTTGCATTAAAGAAATCACTCACACTAAGTCTTTGAGGTCTGGTGCATATTTGCACTTAAGACCCATCTCAATTCAGAGAGTAGCCACAGAGAAGCACCTGTGGCCACATGTGGCTCCTGGCTATCAAAGTAAATGATGTAAGTAAGCATGCTAGAAAATTGCCGTGGTAAGTGCATACATTGTTTGCTATCAATCTTGAACACCTGGGAATCCCTCCACCTGTTCTAGTAAATGAAGTTTAAAGCTCAACAAGAGCGAATGCAGCCTGTTATTCAGACAGGATGTGACTATATGTGTGTTGTCACACACACACTAAAGCTTGTGCTCCCTTAGTCAGAGAAAATGGGAAAAGTTTCATTTTGGGAATGAGTTAGAAGCATACCCAGAACCTGCCACGTGTGCTGTTTTCCTTTAAAGTGGAGATGCCATTGATGACCTGAGTGTCAAGGAAACTTGGGGTTGTGAATGCAGTAAGAGGTTCTACTTAGAATTGAGCTGCTGTCTCTGGAGGTTGTTAGATGGTTAAAGTGGGACACAGATAAACATATTAATGCCCAAACTACAACACTCAGATTTCTGGTTTCTCTCTCAGCAACTTGTTTTCTGCATCATCAACTATTTTCTGGCTTTTATTTTAAAAACAACTAAAGACATGCACAGATGCACATCACATATTCAGGCATTGCAGTTATGTGTGCAGTGTCAAAAGCTAAGGACCACATGTGCCGTGGAGGAAACCCGCTATTGCAGGAGAGCCACGGGTGCAGATAAAAGGCCACATACTGACAGACGCTGCCTGCAAGACAGTGGATTCCAATAAAGAAAAAAAGCTGCCAGGAAAACTTAACCCACTAGAAAATAGGGAGAGGCCATCACGTGGAAGCTTGATGTTCAATTGATCTGTGAAAAATATGACAGCTTTAAAAAGTAGGGAGATAAAATCTTCTGTTTGCTACCTTGGTGAAAGTGCAAAGTCTGTCAGTACCAAATGTCGCCAGGCATGTGGAGCGGTGGCACACGCTTGCTGGGTGGGCGCCTGAGCAGGCCTAAGCTGCTTAGGAGAGTAATTTAGCTGTATGTAGTTCAGTGGGAGACGCTTACCTGTGAGTCTGCATCCACAAAGTCACACAATGGAATGCTGTGCCGCAGGACAGTAGGGAGGTATAGTGTGTCAATCACCCAAACACTTGCCATTTTGAAAGTTCGACATTCAAAGCAATATAAAATATAAGATGCAGACAAAGTGTGAAAATGCACAGGGAGTGCTACATCTGTCTTTACACTCGTGAGGAATGGAGGGGACAGGGTTGGGAAGGACTATTTTGCACAAGAGGTTTTACTGTGTGTATGTGTAAGTGTGCAAATACTGGGGCATTTCAAGTCTTTCTCCATTACCTCTTTCCTCTAATGCCTTGATGTCTAGTTTTTCTAGGCTGGAGCGTAGGGAAACAGAATAGCCTGTGGTTGGTAGCGTGGACTCTGGAATACAAGTGCCCGGTGCCCCGGGGGTGGGTCCTTCAGCACTGCAGGGCTCAGGGTCCTGACCCAAGCCATCTTGTCTTTCTGTAGCTCTCTTCCAACTGTGTCACAGCTCTCAGACTCACATTTGCCTCAAGGCTCTTGACCAGTGGTTCTCAACCTGTGGGTCACAACCCCTTTGAGGGTCAAACGACCCTTTCACAGGGATAGCCTAAGACCATGGAATTCACAGATATTTGCATTACAGTCCATAACAGTAGCAAAATTACACTAAGAAAGTAGCAACAAAAATAACGTTATGGTAGGTGGTCACCACAACATGAGGAACTGTGTGCAAGGGTTGCAGCATTAGGAAGATTGAGGAACCATTGATGTAGACCTTTCTGAGCCATGTCTGGGTATGCACGTGAGCCCATATAAGCCACACATGCAGAAGGTGTAGGATTCATTTCCTCCAGGCTGCTCATTACTGTTTCTTGGTCTTGACTGATCTTGTTGTCTCCTTGTCAAGAGTATGACAATGACTCTTAACTTTTCTCAGGTTCTCATGGCTTAGCCTATCCTAAGCCTGATTGGTCCCATATGCTCTAACTGTTCCAGCAAGTCTAGGCTCTCTGTTGGCCCTGGGGACTGTAACAGCAGCCTTGTACATTGTCTCTACTTTGTTCCATGCCTTCCAAGGCAGAGGAGGGGGGAGGGAGGGGCCACAATGAGTTCTTTATTGAAACATTTTCAGTCGTTTCATATCGTTATTAAACGCCTACATCCAGAGTGTCCATGCTGAGGTTGCTCCTCCATCTCCCACATGCGCCAATTTGCCTCTTACATCATCTGTTCCTCGGGATGCCCTTTCCTTACTGTCCAGCACGGGCTCTCATTCCTCGGGCTACAAGCATCTGTATTGGACTTTTTTTTTAAATATAGTCTTGTGTGCTAAAAATTGTGATTGTGTAGAGTGAGGCCTGATCTCAGTGTGAAAGGCCTTTCCTTGATGTGAAAGACCATGTGTTAAGAGCAGGTGGTCACAAAAAAGTCTGTAAAATTTCAGACTGCTTCTATCACAGTCGTAACTTCCTTTGTGGTATATGAATATGTGAAAAGAGAAGAGAGTGAGCAGTGGGAGAAAAAAAGCTCCTTGGGGTGGTGGCACTTTGCTGGCACTGGGAGCTGGCCTACCCATCTCTTTGTCACCTGCTTTTGACATTCGCCTTCAAGCTTGTTCTGTGCAGCTTTTACAAGGCACTCGGATGTCTGCCAGTGTTCCTGTGACTGCGCTCTTCTATTAGAGTCTGGTTACCCTGGGGTAGGGTCAAGACTTTGTTTCCAGCTCGCTTTTTGTTGCTGTTTTTTCTGTTGCAGATACTCTATAATTTTTTGTTTGTTTAATTAAGATATATTTGAAAGGATTGAAGTACTTGAAGGTTTAGAATCATGTAGATGGATGTTAGTAATTAGTATCAAGAATAGTAATTTTTCTGATGTCTTTTTTTTGTTTTGTTTTGTTTTTTGTTGTTTTTTTCAAGACAGGGTTTCTCTGCATTACTTTGGAGGCTGTCCTGGAACTCGCTCTGTAGACCAGGCTGACCTCCAACTCACAGAGATCTGACTGCCTCTGCCTCCTGAGTGCTGGGATTAAAGGCATGAGACACCAACGCCCGGCCTGATGTCTTTGCTTTGGGCTCATTCTCAAAAACAATAGTTAAAACTTTAGGTGGAGCAAGTGCTAGAACCCACTGGAGAGATGTGTGTCTTGCGCTGACTGTACTTCAGACAACAGACAGCAGTGCTGGCTGTTGTCATCACAGCAAGAGGCAAGAGCCTGCTCATCTGTACTGCAGGGAGAGGTGCTTTATATACAGGCTTTTAGTAGTATTTTCCTGCACATTTAGTGAGAATGAGTATCCTAAGAGAGAAACGGCAGCTTTCCATTAGCCCTCACATTCCACAAGAGACCCTGTTCTCAGGCCTGTGGGTGGAGAGCCAGCCTTGGGCTTGCTTCTGCTTGTGAGGACCATGGCTCTGAGCATTGTGGGGAGTTCAGTGGTTTCCCTGCTGGACTTGGGAAAGGTGTGACCCCTGCCCAGCACTCATCCAGGGTTTTGTGTCTTACCTGCTGTCCTTTACCTTTGCCATTCTCCTGGGTAAGCCACAGTAGTGATGTTTGCTCCAATATGCTCACCTCCGTGGCCAGTAGCCTCGAGCCTTCTTGTACTCTCTGGGGACTCAGGGGAGCTTGACCCTGCTCTGAGCATTGTGGGAAACTTGGAGATTTGCTTTCCCACCAGTTGTTGAGACCTGAGTCATTTGAATAGGTTTCCCTTAACCCCCGAGTGGCCTGTGCTTTCCATCCCCGTGTCCCACTGTTGTCTCCTTCCTTCCAGGTGTCCTGCCCTCACCTGCGCACACCTGTCTCCTACCAGGTGCAATGCAGGAAATACATATTGACCCAGCACTTAAACTTGAAGCTCCTCCCTGGGAGATGCCCCATTTTTTGGTTTTGGGTTTTTGCAAATGAAAATAATTTAGTTTATATATTGACTGTGGAAATTTTGTCCTTAGAATTTAAGTGTAACACTGAAGGATTCCAGTCTGTTGCTAACATGAAATTTTAATTTTTCTTTACAGGTCAACTTTGTAGTGTGCCAACTCTTTGCCTTGATAGCAGCCGTTTGGTTTCGAACTTATCTACATTCAAGCAAAACTAGCTCTTTTATCAGACACATAGTTGCTACCCTTTTGGGCCTTTATCTTGCATTTTTTTGCTTTGGATGGTAAGTAATTATTTTGATCATGTTTAAGTGAACGCTGTTAGGTATATTTGAGAATTGAGTCTGTAGAGGGATATATTATATAGAATTTAGTTTTGAAATTTACTTACAAAGTTTTCTTTCAAGGCTAACTTTCGAAAATCTTTAGTCTAGACAATGGGTTGGGAATGGGAATTTCTGGAGCTTTGTCCTGGGGAAGATTTATGAACATGGACACAAGGAGGATTTATAAAAAGTCTGTTGCTAAGTAGATCTTTTCACCCATCTTGAAAATATTTTATGCTGAAACAAGCAATAAATTGTTGTGTTGTTTGTTCCTTTGGGTTTTCTCTTTGCTGTTGGCTCTGACGAGTCTGGGAAAGCCCATTTGATTGACTCTCATAGTGTTAGTAACAAAGAGGCTTTTGTTTGTTCTTGGTAGAGAAAAAAATTAAGAGAAAAATTTTACTCAGGATCCTTTACATGGGTGTGGGGGGGCTGTTTGTGGGATCTGTGTGTGTGGAGGGAGGCTGTGTGTGGGGTGTGTGTGTATGTGTGTGCATGTGCTCATGTGTGTGTGGTGTGTATGGTGTGGGGTGTGTGTGTGTGTGTGTGTGTGTGTGTGTGTGAGGTGTGTTTTAGCCTAGTCTTCCTCACTGGGCTTGCCTGAGGCTTACAGTTAGAAGAAGCACTGCCTGTACTGCTTCTTAGAACCTGTGGGCTTGTCCGAATGAGGAAAGAGAAGGTGCCCAGTCACTCCTGGCAAGGCAGCAGAGACTGTGGAAGGGCTTCTTGGTGACTCACAAATGTCCCTCCTGGATGAGCGCTTGTGAGTGTCCCCCATTCACAGATGAGGACTCTGCCTTGCTCTACTGCAGGCACCTATCTGAGCTGAGAAGGCCGTGAGAGAGCTGCATGTGTATTCCCATGACCCATGCTTGTAAGATTCCACGGTGGGCTGGATAGCCGGTGCCACTCTTAGGTTAACAATGTGCTTATCTCTAGATGTTCCTGTTGTATTCTCACCAGGGCTGTACTACCTAGCATTTCTTAATCTGCCCTTTGCCTCCAGCAATTGCAAACGTTTCCTAGGACCTCATGAGAAATCAGCTGAGTGTAATTTATCCATGTCAATCACAAATCCATCAACAGCAGAGTTTATTCCATCTCTACCATATTGCCCTTGGCTGGCTCTCTGATAGCCCACAGTATTGTATTGCCTGTGTTTGGTGTATGTAGTGCTGTGATTTTGCCACAGTATCTTAAGGTTCAAGAATATGGGCCCTTTTCACTTCTTGGATAGCATTACCTTTATATCCTTGAAGTTTTCTGAGGTTTCTATTTTGACTTGTAGGAGGTAGTCTATGTTTTTAAGCATCATAAAACTTTCCAACATAGACTAACTGGATGGACTGTAATCCACTCATTACCCAGCTTCAACAATTACTAACATCCCACCCTTATTTTATCTTCCCCCATTCCTAGAGCATATTGAAGTGTATCTCAGTGTATACATTCATGGATAGCTAAGTGTCTTGTATGTGTGTGCGTGTAGCATGTTTTCATGAGGGGTAGAGAACACTTCTAACTCAGATTGATCTAGGGGCTCCTTAACTTGGTACTCTGTGGAAGAACAGGTGTGTGCACTGGAGGGTGGGGGTGGGGTAGGGTGGAGGCAGAGCAGAGCCTTTATAAGGTGAGGTCAGAACCTGTTTTGTTTTGTTTTTTTCCTATGTGGACCTCACCTTATAAAGGCTCAGTCTCTTGACTGAGCTATCATTTGCTGATGTGTTTCAGCATGTTAAGTCTTCATGGGTACCTTATGACCCAGTGTCACAGTTACCAGAATCTAGCTCAAGGTTGTCTTCAGTTTCAAGTTGCATATGGTAGCAAGAGATTTATTTGGGTTCTTTATTCTTATTTATTTATATCTCTCTCTCTCTGATAAGAGGGGAGAGTAAGTTAACTTTTTATTAGTTGGACTTAGTTAATGGTAAGTATTCCTGTTTATTTAGCTTTGCATTTATTTATTTATTTATTTATTTATTTATTTATTTATTTTTGTGGTTCAGAGGCAATTCTACCACTGATTTTTACAACTTCCCTCCAGAAGACATATTTGCTCTTTAGATATAATTGCTTACTTCACCGACTTCTGTTTAGTTCCACCCATCCCTTTCCTTGGCGCCTATGAGTTTCTTAAAATAATTATTACTCGTTTAAATATCTTTGGTAAGACTATACCGTATTGATTGACCAGTGAGCTGGCTCAGTGGGTAAAGGTGCTTGACGCCAAGCCTAGTTACCCTTGTTTGATCCCTAGGACCCATGTGGTGAAAGGACAGAACTGACAGAACTGTTGAGCTGGGCTTGTAAATGTTTGTTTTATTTTTCCAGCTTCTTTGGCATGAGGCTTGGGGTTCCCTATCCCTGGTGTTTGCAGAATGTCATTGGGCTCTGGAAGGTTTAATCTTTTTTTGGTATGAGAACGTTCTAGGTTACATTAAGTACTTTTCCACCTGTAGTATTTGAACCTGATGGTTGTGGCTGCTTCTAACACATTCTCACTTTTTATAGGTATGCCTTAAATTTTCTCATACAAAGTGGGATTTCTTACTGCATCATGATCATAGCAGGAGTGGAGAGCATGCATCAGTGAGTATTGACTGTGTTCACACAGAAAAACACCTTTCTCTTGAATAGAGTCTGATCAAAATAAATAATAGTCATATCTATTATATCACAATACTCCTGAAGCAGGATGATTTTTTAGGAAGCGGCACAATATAAAATCTTGGTGTGCATCCCTCCCCTGTCAATGTGAGTCAGTTCCAGAGCTCACAGATGACATTTAAGGATGGGTGATTCTTTGACACGAAGACTTGCACTGTGGGGTGTTCAGCAGCACCCCTGGCTCCTATCCGTTACACACCAGGGGAACCCTGAGTTGTGACAAAAGTCAGTGTTCCCAGATTCACTCATAAGGGCAGGATTGTCTCTGTTTAACAGCTGTTGCTTCAGTCTGTAGGTGATTGGCAGTAGAGAACAGAACTAAAGCAAATAGATGGAGACTTAGAAGGCAAATTTATGACTAAGTAATTAATGGGAACTCTGGGAAGGAAACAAGGAAACGGTGTCCCTATTCCTGGCTTACATACAGAAGAAATGGAAGTTGTTTCTCAAGGTAGGGACCCTGAAAGTAGGGACCATACTGAGAGGTAGCCAGCCCCCCACCCCCCAAAAAAAGTGTTTGGTGTGTGGCAAACGTTTAGTATTTACTGAATCAGTGAATGCTGACTTGAGCAATTGTGAGATGCACAGCAGGAGTTGAGTAGGTAGGCAGGCAGGGGTAGGGAGATAGGTAGGCAGGGGCTAGGCTGCAAGTGTACACTTGGGAACAGCATTACATCAAAGGTCCTTGATTGAAAACCCAAGGACAGTCTGCCCACAGATCCTCCTACTGATGACTGTAAGAGTGACGTGTGACATATGGCATATGTACTGGATTTCTGAATTCCTAGAGCAGCAGTTGTGCATAAGAAATCAGACCCTTAGTGTTTGATTAGCACTTTCCTAACTCTAATTTTATTTCGTGTCTTCTGTGTTTGGCATGATCGGTCTTCCCTTCTGTTGTAATATACTGTTTATTGATTAGTCAGGCTTCTCTAGAACAGAAGCTATAGTGTATTGTGTACAAGGGGTTCATTAGAGTGGCTGACACCATCTGAGGCTGGATAGTCCCTCAGTGGACATCTGCATACTGAAGAGCCAGAGAACCTAGTAGTTGGTTAGTGGGAGTAGAGGGAGGCCTCAGAACTCAAGAGACCAGTGATGTGGCTCCAGCCTGAGACTGAGGGCCTGGAGGCCTCCTGGCGGGCCATCGGTGTGAATCCATAATGACACGCTGGAGTGTGATGCCTGCAGATCATGACAGGAGCAACAGACCACTCACTCAGGAAGACCTAGCTCTAGTCTTCTTAGCTGCTTTCTCTATGTTTTTCTGTTGGCAATTGTCAATCCTGTTTGATGGTACTGCCCTCATTTAGTGCAGGTCCCTTCTGATTTGCTGTTCCACATGCCGGTTTTTGGAAATGCCCCAATAGACATATCTAGAAGTGTGCTCTGTGAATCTCCTAAATGTCCCTCAATTCAATCAAGTTGACAAGATTAACCTTCTTCATTTCCTTACACACAACCCATGCTGACTTTTCTCTTCCTTCTGTGAACTAACATTAATTTTGGTAAGAGGAAAAAATATTTTGGTAGTGTTTTGGGTGAAGCAATCATTGTGTCATTACAACCTTATTTTTTTAAAAAAAATTTTAAAGTTTTTTATTTTTGTGTATGTGCGAGCGCCTACATGTGTGGAATGTGTACCATGTGTGTGCAATGCCCACACAGTCCAGAAGAAGGCGTCGGATCCTGTAGAACTGGAGTTAGAGCCATGTGGATGCTGGGAACCAACCCAGATCCTCTGCAAGAGCCATCTCTCCAGCCCCTACAGCCCCATTTACAAAGCCTTGCACAGATAACAGATTCAGGGTGAGTGATTCTTCATAACTGATGAAAAAGGGTTATGTTTCTGACCCAAACAGTAGAAGGAAAAGCATATAGAATTGCTGGAAGCAAGAAGACTTGGATGCTACCACCTAAAGCAAGGGTGATAGGCTTTTTCGAACTCACAGAGATCCGCTTGCCTCTGCCTCCTGAGTGCTGGATTAAAGGCGTGCGCCACCAACGCCCGGCAATAGTTCATATATTTAAAAATAAAATTATGCCTTTTCCTGAAAGGCAAGAGTAGTCTGTAGAGTCAACGTCTTAACACTTTAGACTTGCACTGTACGGAACGGTAGCTAACTACATACAGCTCTGCAAGTCAGTCTGTCTGTATCTGTCTGTCTGTCTGTCTATGTATCTATCTGTCGTCTGTCTATCTATTTATGTATCTTATCTGTTATCTATCTATGTATCTGTCATCTATCTATCTATCTATCTATCTATCTATCTATCTATCTATCTATCTAATCTATCACCTAGGTTTTTTGAGACAAGGTTTTTCTGTGTAGCATTGGCTATCCTGGAACTCTCTCTGTAGACCAAGCTGGCCTCAAACTCAGAAATCCATCTGCCTCTGCCTCCCAAGTGCTGGGATTAAAGGTGTGCACCACCACACCTGGCTCAAGCTCTGCTAGTTTTTTTCTTTTTTTTTCAAGACAGGGTTTCTCTGTGTAGCTTTCGAGCCTATCCTGGCACTCACTGTGGAGACCAGGCTGGCCTCGAAGTCACAGAGAGCCACCTGCCTCTGCCTCCCAAGTCCTGGGATTAAAAGCGTGTGCCACCAACGCCCGGCCTCTGTTAGTTTAAATTCATTAAAATTTAAAGTGCATTTTTTTAAAGCCCAGTGTGGCATACATCTTTAATCCCAGCACTCAGGCTGAGGCAGGAGGTTTTTGAGTTTGAGGTCATCTTGGACTACATAAGGCTGTCATAAAAACATAACAAAACAAAAAACCAGAAACCAGTAACAACAAAACACTCAAATAATAATAATAAAATAATAAGCATTAGTCTAATATCAAGAGGTTATCCCTAAGCACATACATGTACATGTGAGCAACATTCAATGGATTCAGGGTGTGTGTGTAGGTATATGTATGTATGTGTATAAAAATAACAATCATGGAAAAAGAGGTTGTAAGTTTGAGAGGGAGGGGACATAGTTGGAGAGCGAGAGGGAGGAGTGGAAATGTTGCAGACTCGATACTCATATGGAATTCTCAAAAAGTAATTGTAATAATAAACTCCAGTACTTCACTCGCAGTAGCTGCACTTCAGGTGCTCCGGAATCACATGTCTGAGGTGTTTGGTGGTGGCTGTGACAGTGCAAACAGAGAGCATTTCCTTTGGTGGTGGCTGTGACAGTGCAAACAGAGAGCATTTCCTCTGGTGGTGGCTGTGACAGTGCAGAGAGCATTTCCTCTGGTGGTGATTGTGACAGTGCAAACAGAGAGCATTTCCTTTGGTGGTGGCTGTGACAGTGCA